CACACACACACACACACACACACACACACACACACACACACACACACGCCTAGGGTTAAAAGGGAACTCAATGATGCTTGTTCAATCCCCTCATTTTACAGATAGAAAGACTGAGGCCCATGGAGGGGTAAAGGGACTTACACAAGGTCAAGAGCAAGATTTGAACTCCACTCTGTTGACTCCAAGCCTAACGCTACGTAAGATCGCAGGAGCAAAGAGTTAGAACGCCTTCCCCATTGTGCTGGTACATAGATCCCAATGGCTCTACTTACCATGGAGGGGTGGGTCAGTAAGGAAGTTGTGTTCATGGTCTTCCTCAACTCCATCTCTTCTATCTCCCTTTGAGGGCAATCCCGAGCTTTCTGACAGGAAGTCAGTTAGCTGGGAAGCCGTCTCTTGGGGTTCTGGGGAGCTGGCTGATGTCCCTGCAGTTGTCTCTTTAAGGAGGTGTCTGGGAGAGGGGGCTGGTGTCAACTGCTGAGGGTCCTGCTCCCATTTTTCCACCTGCCTGGGACCTGTGAGAGGCAGATTCATGAATTAAATGGGATTATCTCCAGAAAAACCTTCCTGTCCCATATTTGAGGAAATAAATATGTGAGTGTTGGGAGGAAGGAAGGAGGAAGTGGGCTAGAAAAGGAGAGAAGAAGAAGAAAAAGAAATAGGTATCCCAAGAGTCAGTACCTCAAGGCAAAGGGAATGGCGGGCCAAGGCCAGCTTTGGACAGCCCCAGTAATGCCACATCTGCCCTGAAGTGGCAAAAGTTTTAGCAAAACATTTTCCTCTCTGGGCCTTTTGTATAATGGAAGGGTCAGACGAGGTAATTTTCAGTATGCTTGATGGCTCAGACATCCCCTGTCCTTAGGCCCCTCCCAGCCCTGACATCATCTGTTCTAAGGCCCCTCCAAGTTCTGACACTCCCTGTTCTAAGGCCCCTCCCAGCTCTGCCATTCCCTGTTCAAGGCTCCCTCCAAGTTCTGACACTTCCTGTTCTAAGGCCCTTCCCAGCTTTGTTGTAATAGTTTATATTCTTTTATCTCCAATATTCTCTAATTCTCCAATTTTTGCGGTAGCTCACTTGGGTGGTGATCTGACTTTTTTCCTTTTTAATTTTGGCAAAGGGTTGGGGTGGGAGAACAGTAGGCAGAGACCTAGGCAGCCCATTTCCCAGCTTGGCCTCTGAGGGTTTCCCCATGACTTTATGGGAGAAGCCCTTCTTCCTCCCTGTCCCCCAGACTCATGGGGCAGCGTCCGTTTCTCTAAGGACTTTCAGTTTCCCTTCTACTCTGGTGGATTCCGAGTGAGGCCTGAGAAGGGTAGATGGACCCAGAGTCCTAGCCCCCTAATGGATAAATGGGGACAGAGACAGCCTTATACAAGAATGAAGCAGGTTTGCCTTTGAGGGTGCTGGGAAGGCTTTCCTGTCCTCATCCTTAACCCACAAAGAGTGCTCCTTCTGCGCTCATTGTTTTAGATTAAAGTCTCCCAGAATCCTCCGGGAAACTGTAAATGTCCTTGGTAAAGAGAGTGGTCATTATAATAATCCTGGGTGGTGCTTATATGGCATTTAAAGGTTTGCAAAATTCTTTACCTGTAGCATTTGAACCTTATAATAACCCCATGCTCTAGAGACAAGTCCTACAGGCATTATTGACCCAATTTTATATAGATGAGAAAACTGAGCCTAGGGAACCCAAGTGACTTGTCCAAGGTCACTCAGGCAGCAAGTTGCAGCAGTGGTATTTAAACTCATCTTCCTAATTCCCATCTAGTGAGGGCTCCAAGGCTCTTCTCAACATTGTATTAGGGAGTCAGTAGCTGTTAACATTTAAGTAACCACAGTGACAGTCAGGCCTCCGAGGCTTAGTTCCTTTGTATAGAACTATATTTAAAGTTTGCCTTTCCCAAGACAGCCCCGGGAGGAAGCTAGTACAAAGCATTATTATACCCATTTTTCAGATGAGGAAACAGCAGGCAGGAGAAGCTAATTAACTTATCCAAGGTTATACGGGCAGAACCTCTTAGGGCTAGGATTTGAATTCAGGTATTCTGACAGGAATTCAGTTCTCTTACTCCTTTCTGTACAGGACACTGCCTTCTCCTTAGAATCTGGGTCTCTCATTTAGCATGGAATCTCTCTCTGTCTCTGTCTCTCTGTCTCTCTTTCTCTGTCTCTCTCTGTCTCTTAGACAAATGGATAGGGCACTAGGCGGATAGAATGCTGGGCCTGAAGTCAGGAAAACTCACGTTCCTGGGTTTAAATCTGGTCTCAGACACTTCCTATCTGTGTGACTCTGGGAAAGTCACTTCACCCTATTTGCTTCAGTTTCCTCATCTGTAAAATGAGCTAGAGAAAGAAATGGCAAACCTCACCAGTGTCTTTGCCAAGAAAACAGTAAATGGGGTCATAAAGGATTGGACAAGTTTGAAAAATGGCTGAACACCACCACCAAGATGGAGCACAGGAATTAGAGTCAGAGGACTAAGGTTCCAGTTCTGTCTTGAATATTATGTGTGGCCTTGAGCAATCACTTAATCTTTCTGTGACTCAGTTTCTTTATTTGTAAAATGGAGGGAGTGTTTAGATTCAGTGGCTTCTAAGGTTTCTTCCAGCTCTAAATCTGTGATTCTGTGATCACTCAGAGCTCTTCTAAAGTAGCTCAGATGATCTCTGTGGGCCTTTATAATTTTTAACATTCTCTATTTTCAATTCTAAGAGCCAAGAGCTATAGATTCTAGAACTGACTCCCCCACCAATTGCCTCATTATGCTGTGTAGCCTTAGGCAAATCACAGCACCTCTCAGTTTCCTCACCTGTTAAATGGGCAGGCTTGTGTGCGGCTGAATGCTCTTGAAGGAATAATTCTAGGACCAAGAGCTTTCCACTGCTACTGGAAATCTGAGCTTGGCGGAGGGCCCTAAGAGCCAAGCATGGACTCCACCATCCTTCCTTATATTTTCTAGGGTATGAAGCCAGAGGCTTAGAAGATACTTACCCTGGGAGAGGTCCTGTGGAGAGTTCTCCAGTGTTAAGGTATCAGTAGAACCCAGGTGGGCGTCCCCTCTACCTTTCCTGGGAATGTCTCTCCTCTTTGATGGTTTCTTCAGGATCTCCTTAATGGAGAAGGGCAGATCCACTTGCTTTGGGGAATTATGTTTGTCCAGAGTCTTCCCCTCCATCCTTCTGCCCCAAACCAAAGTCAGGCAGCTTCAGCTCTTTCTTTGAGAGCCAAGGGTGGGGGAGGAAGGGAATGAGGATTTGGGTTGGCAGTTGAAGATAAGTGAGAGGTAGGAGGAATAACTATTTGCTCCCTGGCAGTTCTTGGGATCAAAACTAAAGGCCTAGGAAATGGTGAGAGAGCCTTGTGTCAGAGACTCCTGCCGTCCCCAGCCCATTCTCTCCAACTTCTAGGAGAGAATGTGTCCTGGAGCCCAGTGGCCTTTGAAGTGCAACCACACATCACATCACATCACATCAGCATGGAGCACCCCAGTACTGCTGGGCAAGCTGGAAGGTGGGCTATTGGTCATCTCGTAGCCCTGGAGGCTGCAGACTTAGAGAAGAAGTAACCTAGGTATGGCAGAGCCGCTGCTGCAGCCTTGGCCTTCCGGTGCTGGGCTCACAATCCTCTCCAACTCCAAAGTCTTCCTTTCTCTTTCACAAATAAGTCACCAGGGACAAGATCCCATGGAGGAAGGGAACAGGGACAAGAAAGAATGGAGAATTGAAGGGGAAAGACCAATTTTTGAGTCCAACAGTGTTGGGGTCCAAATTCTTGAGGCTTGGCGGATCTCATGCAAACCACTGAACCCAGCCTTGGGGAACTAGACTATTTTTTTCCTGAAGGCTGATCATGTTCCAGGAAGCTATAATTCACTCCTGAGCCCCCTTAACCATCTCTGCAGAGATGACCCATTATCCCCAAATCCAGAGTGAGCGAGCTTGAATTTGTCCTCTCTGGTCAGCCTTGGGACATCCAGTTGGGGATCCTCTCAGAGTCCAGATTTTTCTTTTCTTTTCTTTTTTCAACCAGCTAGTTATTGGGGACTAAAAGTCCACGGAGAAGGGGAGCAGTGGTAAGAGGAGGTCTCAGAACTGAATCCTAGTCACTGAGAAGGGGTCCTCATCTTCTTCTCTCCATACTTGTTTTTGTAGGGTGTCATCTCATCCTTTAAAAGGTGCAAAAACAAGGTGCTTCTTGGTCCTTCTCTGGGGATAGATGACTCAGAGGATCCATGGCTTAGATTCTTCTAGAGGATTTTAGTCTCTTTCCCCTTCCAAGTCCACATCATTCAGGGTACTGTTCACAGGAAGGTTTAATTGACTCACTGGTGTGACACTCTTTCCTCCAAATGAGGTTTTGCCAGCCTCAAGCTCCCTCTCTCAGATGTCTTCTCAGCCTTCTCTTTGCTTCCTTATTTCTTCCTCTGTCGGACTTTTCCTTATCTGTCAATGTTGGCAAGGCCTGTCCCCTTCTGTCCAATGGGCAGACAGTTCTGGACTTGATAGGCTGGGGTCCCTGTAAGGAATTACTGTGTAACCAGGGTGGGGGTAGGGAGATAATAAACCACACCCGATAATACCGAGGAGTCCATCCCCTTCATAGGGCAGGGGCTTGTGTGAACAAACAGGTAAAAGGGGCAATAGGGAGAGGGGAGGAAGAAGGAATGGGAGGGAGGCCTCAGGCAGTGGCATCAGAGAGGGTCTGAAGAAGAGAGCCGGGCTTGAATGAGGGGAAGAGAAAAGAAGGGGTTGCCAGGCTAACAATGGCCCTGGTAAGAGTTTGAGTTGTTGTAAAAGGTGTTTACACAGCTCAAAGAATTTATGGGTCATAGATTATTGCTATATAGACAGGAAGGCCAAGGCCCTGGGAACAGGGATCCAGGTTCCAGCTGTGGACACTCCCTGCCAAGTGAACTTTAGTTACTACAGATGTGGCTTTGCCACCAGAGGAATGCTGGGGCAGTCTCCTAGGGGACTGCTGTGGGCACCCCATTCCCACTGACTCCCCTGTCATGAGTGTACCTGGCGGGGCAGGGAGGTTGGCAGAGGAATGGGGAAAGGCAGCCCCTAGGCAGGGAATGATCATTTACTGAGTCACTGGTAAGAAGCTTAATTGAACCTGGCCAACAGATTAGATCCAATCAATAAGCGTTCAATTGTTCCATTGTTTCACTCATGTCTCATTTTCCGTGACCCCATTTGGGGTTTTCTTGGCAGAGATACTGGAGTGGTTTGTCATTTCCTTCTCCAGCTCATTTTACAGGTGAGGAAATGGAAGCAAATGTGGGTAAATGACTTGCCCAGGGTCACACAACTAGTAAATGTCTGAGGCTACATTTGAACTCCAATCTTCCTGACTCCAGGTCTGGTGCTCTATCCACTGTGCCACCTAGCTGTCCCTCAACAAGCATTCGTTAACCACTTAATCTATTCCAGGTACTGGGGATACGAACAATAGCCAAAACACGGTCAGTCCCTGCTGTCGAGCAGCTTGCATTCTAATGCAGGAACAACATTCCAAAAGCTATGTTCTTAGAATTGCAAGTTTATAGTTTAGTTTAGCAAGCATCCATTAATGTCCTGTTAAGGTACAGTCAACAGGACTGGTGCTAGGGATATAGACATGCTGCCCATACACTCTATTGCTGTGTTCCCTCTTTGCTGCTTAGATCTATAGGGAGTGGGGGTAGGTAGAGCAAGGAGAGGGAATATGATCTCACAAGGTCATAGAGAAAGAGACACCAGGACCCATGAGAGCCATTGGGTCTCTTGCCTCTCAGCTGCCTGTCAAATGCACTCTTTCTGCTCTGGGCTAGGCTATCTTTGGCCACAAGTCATTGGAGTTCCCTGCCAGGACACGACAGCCAGGAGGAAGAACATACCTTCCATGCAGCTTGAGGGCGGGGTTGATCCTCACTTGAGTCTACCTGGCTCTTGTGCCCATTCCTTGTGCCTTGAGTTCCAGAAAAAGAGTTCCTCCCGAATTTCTGCCTTTGCTCCTGATGACCGGTCCTCATACAGGAAGTGTGAGTCAAACATCCTGGGTAAACAGTGCTCTCTATACTCTTTTGCCCACTTGAAGGGGAGGGCTGGTGGTGAACCACAGAAACTCAAACTGCATGTTTCCTGGAACTCAGATGGTGCAGTGAATAGAGCTCTGGACCAGGAGTCAGGAAGATCCAAATTCATATTTGGCCTTACATGCTTACGAGCTGTGGGACCCTGGGCAAGTCACTTAATCTCTGCCTTTTTAAATGTTTTCATCTGTAAAATGGGAATGATAGTAGCCCTACCTCCTAGGGTTGTTATGAGGATAAAATGAGATAATATTTGTCAGGTTCTTTATAAACATATACAAGGCTAGCTGCTTATATTATTAATAACTCGTGAGTCCAGATCAATCAATGAATCAGCAAGCATTTATTAAGCAGGAATGACATAAGGCACTGGGGATACGATTGCAAGAAATGAAATGATCCCTACTTGCAAGGAGTTTACATTCTAGTGAGGGAGACCAAAAAAAGTAGCTATAAAAATATATACTGCATAAAAACAAAGTAAATTAATACAATACAGGTGAAATACAAGTTATTCTGCTCTGGGCTAGGCTAGCTTTGGCCAGAGGTAGCTGGAGTTCCCTTCCAGGACAGGGCAACTGGGAGAGAGAATATTACCTTTTGTGGGGGTTGGGGGTAGAAGGTAGTTTGGGAGGGAGGGTGCCAGCAGTTGGGGAGGGGATCAGGAAACACTTCCAAAGATGCTTGAGCAAATCTTAAAGGAAGAGGGCATCTTGTTGAGGTTCCTGGCATGGGGAATTGCCAATGTAAAGATACTGAGGTGGGAGATAGAGTGTCATGTAGAAGGAATAGAGAAAAGACCAGTTTGTCTGAAACAGACAATAGGAGGGTGAGTAATATCCAATGAAGTGGAAAAGCTAGATTGGGGCCAGTTTCTGATGCCAGGGGTTTCCTTGGTTTGAGAGAGTAATGGGCTCATGGTGCTGCTTTGTAGATGTTTCCAATGTTTGTCATGCACTGTCTTCTAGTTACTGTACCATTTTTATTTGTTTACTGATAAATGCTACACATAGGACCCAAGTACCTGAGTACGCTTCCATGAAGAGTCAAATCTAACATGTCTAGGACATGGGACTAGAGGTTACTTAAATACAACAAGTTCAGAAAAGAGACAATATTTCACTAGTAGGTGGGGGCTCAACATTTTATTTGGGTAGAACCTCAAAGTCCACATGCCCATTGACAATGAGTTGGTGCATCTCCCCAGAGAGAGAGGCAGTGCTGAGGGCTAGAAGGTCACTGACTTTTTGAAAATCAGAGCTTCTGCCTCAGCACTTCCATCCAGGTGGGTTGTGAAAACTGCCAAGATGAGCCTAGGACCTGCCAATGCCTATCAATGCCATCTACTGGTTAAAAGTATGTGCTGATGATCAGAAATAAAGACAGACCCAAACAACTGGAGAAACATTACGTGCTCATGAGTAGGCAAGCCAATATGATAAAAACCACACTAATACCTAAATTAAATGAATAACAACAGCTACTATTTATATAGCACTTACAATGTTCCAGGCTCTGTACTAAACTCTTTACAACAATTATCTCCTTTGATTCTCACAACAACCCTAGCAGATAGGTGCTGTTGTTATCCCCATTTTACAGATGAGGAAATGGAGGCAAACAGAGGTTCAGTGAGTTGCCCAGGGTCACATAGCTAGAAAGTGTCTGATGCCAGCTTCGAACTCCAGTGTTCCTGACTTTATGGCTGGCATTTTATCCAGTGTGCCACCTAGTTGCCATACTTACTTAATGTTATACTAGTCAAACTACCAAAGGATTTCTTTATAGAACTAGAAAGAATAATAATGAAATTTGTCAGGAAAAAGTAAAATGGTTAAGAATCTCAAGGGAAATGAGAAAGAAGGAATCTTAGAAGCAACAGATAAACTGTTGTACAAAGCAGCAATCATCAAAAAAAATTGGAACTGGTTAATAAGTAGATTGATTGGTAGACTAGATTAAGCACACAACATATAGAAGCATATGAATGTCATATGCTAGGGTTTCATAAACCCAGTGACCCCCTCTACTATGATAAGAATTTGCTATTTACCTAGAACTGCTAGGAAGACTGGAAAGCCATCTGGTAGAAACTAGGT